AGAAATGGAATAAAAATGGGATTAAAAGGAAACAAAAATGGGATTAAAAAAGAAACAAAAATGGGATTAAAAGGAAACAAAAACGGGATTAAAAAGGGATAAAAACCAGGATTAAAAACTGATTAAAAACACAATAAAAATGTGATAAAACCAGAAAGAAAACAAGATAAAAACGAAATAAAAACGGGACAAAATCAATTCTTGCTTCTCCATCCCCCACCCCCCCAAAAGCTTTGGGAATCCTCCCCAGACCCTCCTGGAATTCCCAGAATTCCCACCCTGGATCCAGACGTAGGCGGCGGCGGCCACGGCGAAGACGAGGAGGAAGAGGATGAAGATGAAGGTCTCCAGGTTGTTGGCCGTGACCCTTTTCACCCCAAACAGGATGGTCCTGAGCAGCTTCCCCTGGGAAACAGGGAAAATTCCAGAAAATTCCATGGAATTCCAGAAAAACTCCATTTAAAAAAAAAAAAAAAATCTCACGGGAGTGTCTAAAAACGCCGCAGAATTCCATTAAAAAAAAAATAAAAATTCCATAAAAATCCCAAAGATCTCTGGAAAAAAACCCCATGGAATTCCATAAAAATTCCAAGGAATTCCTTCCAAATCCTTCCCATTCCCGAGGTTTCCTTGCCTCCCTCCTTTCCCGGGAATTTTGGGGAATTTTTGGGAATTTTTGGGAATTCTGGGCTCACCTGGGCTGTGTTGAAGCCGGTGCGGAGGGCGAAGGCCAAACATCCGTTATCCACGGCTGGGGGGGGGGAAAAATTCCATGAATTCCTTGGAAAATTCCGGAATTCCCAAGGAATTCCAGGTGGGAAATATCCCAGGAAATCCCTGGTGAAATCCCTGAGGGAATCCCAGGAAATATTCCAGGAAATCCCGAGGGAATCGCAGGGAATTTTGGGGATTCTAGGGTGGGATTTTTTTTGGCATTTTGGGTTGGGAATTCCTGGGAATTTGGGAATTCTGGGCTGGGAATCTGGGAATTTTGGGCTGGGAATCTGGGATTCCAGGGTGGGAATTCCAAGGGTAAGAATTTTGGGATTTTTGGGATAGGAATTTTTGAGCTCCCCACTCATGCCTGAGCCCCACAGAG